TGTTGAAGCAAGAATACGATCGATTTCATGGAAAATCGACAAATAATGCTCCAGTGAACCTTTCCTGGTTAGCTTCCCTTTGCTTTCCCTGTGGTTTTCACGAATGTTCACCCAGCATTGATCAAACTTGAGTGGGGGTGCGTCAGTTTTGGAGAGGCAACTGATTGCTGAAACGGGTGATCTCCGTCACAATCCTCAGCCCGGTGAAGAAACGGAGCGCTATTCTCCATAAAGGCTGCGGGGGACCTATGAGTCAACCTGACAAGTGTAGCTTTCGTCTCCAAATTGACCACACCCAAACCAGATTCCCCAGCCACAGGCAAACCGGGCACCCGTTGTTTGACCCGAAAACCATCAAAATAAGGGGTGTCCTGGCTCGAGTGGCTCTTCTTCCACTTCACCTTGGAGCCCTTGCCCGCTTTGTCCTCCTCCAGCGCCATGAACACGAAAACGTCCACCTCTCTTCTTTCGCCAACTTGCCACTAGGACATGGAGGTTGCCAAAGTCTCCTCCAAACATACTGTTCTTCATGCGGCAAAAACAATTGACCGAAAATACGTCCATAATGTTTGTGCGCACCCAAACTGGCCCATGGTCACTCACAGAATGTGTGTGTGTGTGCGTGTGTCTTGTGTGCGTGTGTTTGTGCGTGTTCGTGTTTGTGCTTCTGTGAGAGTGTTTGCGTGTTGTGTGTGTGTGTCTGTGTGTGTGTGTGTGTGTGGGTGTGTGGGTGTGTGGGTGTGTGCGTGTGTGCGTGTGGGTGTGTGGGTGTGTGCGTGGGTGCGTGGGTGCGTGGGTGCGTGGGTGCGTGGGTGTGTGGGTGCGTGGGTGCGTGGGTGCGTGGGTGCGTGGGTGCGTGCGTGCGTGCATGCGTGCGTGCGTGCGTGGGCGCGTGCGTGCGTGCATGGGTGGGTGCGTGCGTGCATGGGTGGGTGGGTGTGTGTGTGTGTGTGGGTGTGTGTGTGTGTGTGTGTGTGTGTGTGTGTGTGTGTGTGTGTGTGTGTGTGTGTGTGTGTGTGTGTGTGTGTGTGTGTGTGTGTGTGTGTGTGTGTGTGTGTGTGTGTGTGTGTGTGTGTGTGTGTGTGTGTGTGTGTGTGTGTGGTGTGTGTGGGGGTGCGTGGGTGCGTGGGGCGTGGGCGCGTGGGCGCGTGGGCGTGGGTGCGTGGGTGCGTGGGTGCGTGGGTGCGTGGGTGCGGGGGTGCGTGGGTGCGTGGGTGCGTGGGTGCGTGGGTGCGTGGGTGCGTGGGTGCGTGGGTGCGTGGGTGCGTGGGTGCGTGGGTGCGTGGGTGCGTGGGTGCGTGGGTGCGTGGGTGCGTGGGTGCGTGGGTGCGTGTGTGAGTGCGTGGGTGCGTGGGTGCGTGGGTGCGTGGGTGCGTGGGTGCGTGGGTGCGTGGGTGCGTGGGTGCGTGGGTGCGTGCGTGCGTGCGTGCGTGGGCGGGTGGGTGGGTGGGTGGGTGTGTGTGTGTGCATGTGTGCATGTATGCGTGTGTGTGTGTGGGTGTGCGGGTGTGTGTGTGTGTGTGCGTGTGTGCGTGTGTGTGTGTGTGTGCGTGTGTGTCTGTGTGTGTGTGCGTGTGTGCGTGTGTGCGGGTGTGCGGGTGTGCGGGTGCGCGCGGGTGTGCGTGTGCGCGTGTGCGACTGTGCACGAGTGCGCCTGCGCGCGTGTGCGCGTGTGCGCGTCTGCGCGTGTGCGCATGTGCGGGTGTGCACGTGTGCGCGTGCGCGCATGTGTGTGTGTGTGCGGATGTGCGGGTGTGCGGGTGTACGGGTGTACGGGTGTGCGGGTGTGCGTGTGCGTGTGCGTGCGCGTGTGCATGCGCGTGTGCGTGCGCGTGTGCATGCGCGTGTGCGTGCGCGTGCGCGTGCGCGTGCGCCTGCGCGTGCGCGTTGCGCGTTGCGCGTTGCGCGTGCGCATTGCGCGTGCGCGTTGCCCGTGCGCGTGCGCGTGCGCGTGCGCGTGTGCGTGCGCGTGTGCGTGCGCGTGTGCGTGTGCGTGTGCGGGTGCGCGTGCGTGTGCGTGTGCGTGTGCGTGTGCGTGCGCGTGCGCGTGCGCGTGCTCGTGCGCGTGCGCGTGCGCGTGCGCGTGCGCGTGCGCGTGCGCGTGCGCGTGCGCGTGCGCGTGTGGCGTGTGCGTGTGGCGTGTGCGTGTGGCGTGTGCGTGTGCGTGTGCGTGTGCGTGTGCGTGTGCGTGTGCGTGTGCGTGTGCGTGTGCGTGTGCGTGTGCGTGTGCGTGTGCGTGTGCGTGTGCGTGTGCGTGTGCGTGTGCGTGTGCGTGTGAGTGTGCGAGTGCGTGTGCGTGTGCGTGTGCGTGTGCGTGTGCGTGTGCGTGTGCGTGTGCGTGTGCGTGTGCGTGTGCGTTCTGTGCGGCGGCGTGTGCATGCGCTGTGTGAAACATGTGTGTGCATGCGCTGTGTGCGTGTCGCGTTTGCGCGTGCGCGTGAGACATTTTGCGCGTGCGCGGTTTGCGCGTTTGCGCGTTGCGCGTGAGCGTTGCGCGGGCGCGTTGCCGTGCGCGTGCGCGTCAGCGCGTGGGCGCGTTGTTGGGTCTATGTGCAGTGGCGTGTGCGTGCGCAGTGTTGGTGTGCGTGTGCGGGCGTGCGCAGTGACGTGTGCCGTTGTCGCGTGTGGTGGTGCGTGCGCGTGGCGCGTGCGCGTGCTCGTTGCGCGTGCGCGTGCGCGTGCGCGTGCGCGTGCGCGTGCGCGTTGGCGCGTCGCGCGTGTGCGGTGTTGCGTTGTTGCGTGTTTGGCGTGTGCGTGTGCGTTTGCGTTTGTGTGGGTTTCGTTGTGCGTGTGCGTGTGCGTGTGCGTGTGCGTGTGCGTTTGCGCTTAAGTGGCATGCACGTGCGCGTGCGGTAGGTGCGCGCGCGGTTGCGCCGCGGGTGTGCGTGTTGCGGGGTGCGTTGTGCGCTGTGCGGTGTGTGCGTGTGCGTGTGCGTGTGCGTGTGCGTGTGCGTGTGCGTGTGCGTGTGCATGTGCGTGTGCGTTTGCGTGTGCGTGCGTGTGAGCGTGTGCGTGTGCGTGTGTGTGTGTGTGTGTTGTGTGGTTGTGCGGCTGTGTGGTTGTCTGGTTGTGTGTTTGTGTTTGTGCTTCGCATTTTCAGGAGCACCTGGGCTTCTGGCGCCTGTCATAACCTGTGTTTGTGGCTACAATTTGCATTATCCTCCTCTCCAAACTATCCATGCCTCTGGAAAAATAACAGGATTTCCTCCATGTCCCTTCTTGCAAAAAGAAGTTTCAATGGACACCACCAGTAAATTGCAGCTTTTGAAGGGGAAATCCACTGACCCCTGAATCATCCTTGTGGTGATTTCAACATGGGCCATTCAACCAATGACTGCGTTATGACCTTAAAGGGGGATTGCCGTTGCCACAGCACAGAAAGTCACAGCCGAAAGCTCGATTTTGTCACGACCACGCGCCTCCTTTTTAACCCCATTTTGAAGTGGCCCAAAAAAAGCGGCAACCCCTAACCTCACCCCTTTTCCACAGACATGACCCCCAAGGATTCATCTTGTTTCACTACCCAAGGTTTTAAACAGGTTAACGCCCGTTTAGGTCTGGGGAGTCAAGACGTGGAACCCTGAACCTGCGTTTGCGCACAGGCCTGTTGATGTCCCGATCACCAAAACAATGGTTGCGTTAAGCTGTTCCCCAAAGAACCTTTCAGGTTGGCTTAAAGGGCAAAGGAAAGCCGAAATTTATGTGTGGGGTCCGAATCGGATCCTACTTTGACACATCCCATGTGCTAAACCACGAGACATGAGCCAAACCAACAATATGATTCAATATGATCACGAACCAGGTATGTCAAACAAAGGGCCCATGACTATCCCTGGTTCAAACCATGATTAAAACGATCGGGATTCACATTACCATCATTGTTTACCTACTTGGGTGATCGGCCAAATGAAGCGATTAGCCAGCTGTGTTCCGGCCCACGAGTAACAAAATTCACTCCACGGAACCGGGGGACTGGTAAGCGGGTAACCTAACTTGGCGAATCGAAGCAAGGAGTTTCATCCAAGCCCCAGAGTTCAAACCAATGGGGATCTTTGTTTACCTAAGGATTGGCATCTAAATTGGGTGGCCATTCTTGTTTGGCAAAAAGGGACATGGAGGAAATCCTGTTATTTTCTGGTGGTGTCCATTGAAGCTGCCACTTGTGCTAAAAACCATGAAAAAAAACAGCACATGTGCTCCAAAACAGCTGAAAGCGGTGGGGTCTCAGCCCAGATAGGCTCCGGGGCTCCGAGGAGGGTTCCAAGGAGGCTTCTGCGGAACCCATACGGCCTATACGGTGTTGGGGATGATACCACCTTCTATTTTTGACTCAAAGGGGTGCTTCCCCTCCCCCTTAAAAAAAATAGATTTAAATAAAAATGCTTAAAAGGGGTGCTTCCCCTCCCCCTTAAAAAAATAGATTTAAATAAAAATGCTTAAAAGGGGTGCTTCCCCTCCCCCTTAAAAAAAATAGTTTTAAATAAAAATGCTAAACGGGGTGCTATCCCTCGCCCTTAAAAAAAATAGATTTAAATAAAAATGCTTAAAAGGGGTGCGTCCCCTCCCCCTTAAAAAAAAATAGATTTAAATAAAAATGCTTAAAAGGGGTGCTTCCCCTCCCCCTTAAAAAAAATAGATTTAAATAAAAATGCTTAAAAGGGGTGCTTCCCCTCCCCCTTAAAAAAAATAGATTTAAATAAAAAATGCTTAAAAGGGGTGCTTCCCCTCCCCCTTAAAAAAAATAGATTTAAATAAAAATGCT